CCCCAAAACCCCAAAACCCCAAAACCCCTAAATATCATTAGAGTATTGAAACACTGTATGTCATAAAATTATCAGAAATTAGCATTTCATACTTTCACATTATGAGATTTATTCTGAAATCTATGAGATTGCTGAAAAATATTTTTACCTTTACGACTATTAAGGTAAGTCCCAGAGTTGAGTATTAAAGACATGACAGTCAATATTTAGCAAACGGCTTATCCCATAATGAAGTTTCCTTGTTTAATACACTTAAAAATATGAGCATTAGATTTTTAAAGGACTTATGATTTAGAGACCTATTCCTATTCCAGGCTTTGAAATTTCAATTTAGTGGATAAATTAAAGCTGAAACCTCTTAATAGTCACCCTTCTCTTGACAAGTAAGAATGTTTATTATTGGATCGGACCTTTGGTCTGTGAACCTGGCAGCCTACTCTCATGTATCTCGATTCCATTATTATTGTATAAGAATAAATTATCCAGAATTTATTTTAGAGTAATAGATAATAAATTTGGTGAATAAATAGCCGAGTATAGTTCAATAAGAAATTTAGAATAAGTAATCAACCTTATTTACGATCAAGTTTCTCTTGAGATCAGCTACTATATAAGGCTTAAATATTTATCTGATCTCTTATCCACTATCAACCGTTCATTGTTTCCGAGGGAGTTAAATTATCTTCTAACATCCTTATATTACTGTGAAGTCTCTTGGACTTTCCCAACAAATTCGATATAGCTTTCTTGTCCATGTAGCTAGTATATGAATCATTCTACTTATTTTCTATCACAAAATCAAATTGAGTACTTTCCTGCCCAGCATTGGTAAGCTAGCAACATATTTCCCAATTGACAGTCCTTTAAAGTTTAGATGTTAATCCCTGAACTTATTCCTTGGAATAGACTGTTGTTATTAGTAAGAAACACTGACTCTGCACCTTTGAAGTTGTTATGATTGAGAAGGGCTCACTAGCTTTACAGGCGTTTAATTACATTTTAAATTCTTTTGTAGAAATCAGAATTATAGTCTGCCAACTACATGTTTTCATTTGGGCTTACTGTCTACAAACTTTAGAGGCGCACAAGAATCTGATTCAACCGTCTGAAAAGTTATCATTGGAGTAGAATTGATTGGAATTAGGATAGATAATAACTAGAAGATGTCTTAGAACTAGTAAATTACATTAAAAATCTTCTTGAACTTTCTGTTATAGCAAGCATTACTTTTAGCCATCTGATATGTTCTTCAATGATTTAAGATAATAATAGATTGACGAGATATCAAAATTAATATTCTCACTGTTGCAATTTTTTGTTTATTTCTCTTAAATTTTTGCGAGTTTGCCTTCAAATCAATAATTTATTAAGCATTTTCTCTTAGATTATTTGTGCAAGATAATAACCTTTATTGGAGTTTTAATTGTTAACTTGAATAGAAATAGTAAAATTTTCCAAAACGGTGAATTTGAGCATCTCTTAATTGCTATAGATTAAGGTAACATTATATTAAGAAAATAAAGAGATCTTGGGCGAATTCACTTGCACACTTAATAGGCAGCTTGAGTAACCAGTCAAGAGTGATAATCCAATTTGATTCCTGTCATTAACCTTTTGATTCCTTAATTATTGGCATATTTTTATAGGCAGATAATTCAAAACCCATAAATAAGTTGATAACTTCGCAACAAAAATATGTGAGATGTTTGATAATATCAGTACTCCTATACTAAGAATTATTTGAAGTTTTATATCATTTTCAGAGTATTTAAACATAAATAAATATAGCCTTAGCTTCTTAATGCAGAGATTTGATCTTCTGAATTTTGTTTGCAATAGACACTGTGTAAGATTAGAGATGCACATTCTGTCAACCAAATTATAATAACAGGCTCGTATAATAAGCCTGAAAATTACGATGATTCTAATTTAAGAGGAACAAGGGTAAGTCATTAGAAGTTGAGCATTTGAAATAGAACATATCTCACCCAAGGTTTTAGAAGTGCCCTATATTTACCATAGTTTAGGTCAACTTTGGATCTCTAGTCTAAGGTAATAAGATGATATTATCACCATCATTTCCTAACTAGATATATATCTAGAATACCTATAGAACCAAAGAAAGAGATGCTAACAGTAAAGTTGAATTTTATGAAAAACTGATGTCGTTTATCAACTTTTTCTGCCTTATTTGGCCAAGAGCAGGTGAATTAAAATTATTAGAAACAAATTATATACTACTATCTTAGAAATGTATTTCTACCATTTGGATGTCCTTCATCGTAAGTTCTTTTCAGGGGTGTTTCATTATTTTTTGAATTTCTGTGTTAAAATCAGATGGCTTCTTTCATTCTAAGGAAATATCATGCGAGGCCTTTCTTATCCTCATTGCTTTATGCAGCAAACCCTTGATCTCTTTTTGTAGATTGGATTCAGATGATTTAGGACTTCAGGATGTCTTCAAATGATTAGGAGTTTCAGGAAGTTTGAGATAATCCCTCTTTCCTAGGCTCTTACTCCTCGACTCCTTATCCTGCACATTCAAACTCTTATCAAGTTTTCAATGATGTGACTGAAACTCTGACATATTTTTCTCCAAATTAATCACAGTTCTAACTCTCAAAACCTGAGCATGCTCATCTAATAACTCTTCAGGCAAGTCTTCTTCTGATATAATAGTTTTGTACATTTTGTATAAATATTATTATTGTAAATCAAAAGTTTTATGCTTATGAGGGGTTTTGGGGTTTTGGGGTTTTGGGG